ATACATGAGATCATATTATACATGAGATTGTATTATACACGAATAAATACTGTAAGTGTCATCAAGTTTTTTTTATGTCTGTAAGACATGCTTGTAGTTTAAGTAACTGGTTGGATTCATCAGGTTTCATGRAYAAATATAACTGAGTATCATCAGCATAACAATGGAAATTTATCCCATGCTGTTTAATAACTTTACCTAACTGAAGCATAAAGTAAAGAGGATTGATCCAAGCACTGAACCCTGAGGAACTCCATGACTAACTCTGGTGTTAGAAGAAGATTCATTATTATTGATCGTGTTATACATGAGATTATATTATACATGAATAAATATGGTAATTTTAGCTGTATTTGTCTAAATGCAACTTTTTGTGATTGTTTCAGCTTCTAGCAGCTTAATTTATCAAACAGGCTCTTTCTGCATCTGTGCTAACTTCAGCTACTTGTGCTAATTTTGGCTGTTTTTGTTTTTTTTGCACCATTTTTGTACTCTTTATCTTGTTTTTCTGCCAGTGTGAGCTGTTTTCCTCTCTGTTCACCAGCTGTCTGCTAACTTCAGCTTGTTTCTTCTGCTGTCTACATTTGTTTTCCTACTTTCAACTGATGCCTTTCTCATTGACAGGAAGTAAAAAATGTTCATGGTTGTGCTTAGATCTGCGTTGCAGTTTTGAATGTAATGAAATATTTGAAGTTGTACATTTCAGCTGAAAAGGACCGTCTTTAGCCACCAGTTTGTTTTCATTATTTATTAATTTAGTTGTTGTTTTTCTGCTCCRTAAGGCTGCCAGAAAGGACACAGGATGGGCTACAAATGTTACCTGGTTTACAACCGTTTGGAAGACTACGCTGGAGCATCCAGGAAGTGCCTGGAACGCGGCGGCCGCATGGCCATGCCCCGCGACCGTAAAGAGCAGGAGGCCCTGGCGGACTACGTGAAGGGCTTCTTCCACCCGGGGAACTGGCCCGTCTGGTTGGGCGTCAACGACCTGCGSTCCGAGGGCTTGTACCTGTTTGACGACGGCACCCGGGTCTCCTACTTCCAGTGGCGTAAACACTTCCTGTCCAGCCAGCCGGACGGAGGGAGGCGGGAGAACTGCGTGGCCATGTCGTCGGACGATGGAGACTGGTGGGACCACTACTGCGACCGGACCATGAACTACGTGTGCGAGTTTGACGACAGGGTGGCTCTTTAAAAAAACAAACTCTTTGGCCTTTTGTCTGTTGCAAAGTTACCACTAACCTGTTGATATTTGGAAATAAAAAATCTTTTTATTTAATAAAATTAATGTTCCTTTCTTGTAAGAAAAGTTTAAAAAGCTCTGATTCCGTTTTAACTACAATCAAAGGCAAATTGAACCACATTTTCGTGTGTTTTATGAAAAATAATTATGGTCTGTGTACCAGATTTACAACAAATAATATCAAAGAAACAATGGAAGTTCAGTTATTATTCATGTGTTTGGATTTGCACATCCTCCTGCCATCATCAGTGTGTGCTGGAGCACCCTGCACACCCTTACTTCCCAATGCCTTGATCTCAACATTTTTAATACATAAACAGTCAAATTAATTTATCTAAATGAAACTTTTTCTATCAGGCATGGTCAGTCCTGGTCCTGGGGGGCCGCAGCCCTGCAKGTTTTACTGGTTCCTCTGCTCCAACACACCTGATATGAAGGATGATTATCAGGCTTCTGCAGTACGGAGGACCAACACTGACATCATTAGAAATAAAAGCAGAATTATATAAATGAACTATTAAATAAATACACTTAAAATGCACCAATTCAATTAAAAAAGAACTTTATCACCTGTTTTATATTTTAATTGACTTTCATGTTTATTTTTCCAGGTTAGTTCCAGTAAATT